GAATTAAAGTTGTATACAGATGAGTTAACTTTCCAACGCATTTTTAATCGCCACAATAGGATATCGAAATACAAAGTTATGATAAAAACACTGAAAGAAGGTGCAGCTACCTGTTTAAAACAAGAAATTCCGTTACAGAATCCGTTATATTGAGACCTATTTTTGGCATATAAAGTGATCGAATTGGAGAATGATGTCTGAACCAAAGTTGTAACCAAATGAGTTAGATTTTCAAGGCATTTTGAATTGCCTCAATCGGATATTGGAATACAAAGTTATGATAAAAACACTGAAAGAAGGTGCGGCTGCCTGTTTAAAACAAGAAATTCTGTTACATAATCCGTTATATTAAGACATATTTTTGGCATAGAAAGTGATCGAATTGGAGAATGATATCTGAATCACAATTGTAGCCTGATGAGTTAGCTTTCTAACTCATTTTGAATCGCCTCAATCGGACATTAGAATACAAAGTTATAATAAAAACATTGAAAGAAGGTGCAACTGTCTGTTTAAAATAAGAAATTTCATTACATAGTCCGTTATATTGAGACCTATTTTTGGCATAGAAAGTGATCCAATTGGAAAATGATGTCTGAATCAAAGTTGTAGCCAGATGAGTTAGATTTCCAATGCACTTTGAATCATCTCAATCGGATATCGAAATACAAAATTATGATAAAAATACTGAAGGAAGGTGCAGCTACCTGTTTAAAACAAAAAATTCTGTTACATAGTCCGTTATATTGAGACATATTTTTGGCATAGAAAGTGATCGAATTGGAGAATGATGTTTGAATCAAAGTTGTAGCCAGATGGGTTAGCTTTCCAACGCATTTTGAATCNCTCATATTGAGAACTATTTTTGGCATAGAAAGTTATCTATTTGAAGAATAATATCTGAATCAAAGTTGTAGCCAAATGGGTTAGCTTTCCAACGCATTTTGAATCTCCTCAATCGAACATCGGAATACAAAGTTATGATAAAGACATTGAAGGAAGGTACAGCTGCCTGTTTAAAATAAGAAATTTCGTTACATAATCCGTTAAAACAACAAATTCCGTTAGTTTTTCCGTTAAATCAACAAATTCCGTTAAATAGATACTTTTTATATATAGAAAGATAT